ATTTGATTTTATAAGATCTTTTCTGTAAATTAAATAATAATAAAAACATCCACTATATACAGGGTGGCCACTTTTTCATTGAAATGTATTGCTATCTCGTAAACCGTTGGTAACACAAAGTTGGTTAAATGGGGAAAAAGTTGCATATTTCGAAGTCCAATCTGAGGGCGTTTTGAAAACTAAAATATCAGGTCCGGTTTCCGAGATATTCGATAAAAAACAAATAAGTACCATTTCTTTATTCCGCTACAGAACGTTTATTTGCAAAAATAGACAAAAACTCATTTGGAGTTTTTTGTTTTATATCAAATTGTGCGTATGATAGCGTATTTAGTTTTTTTATCCGACGTTTCGTAAATGCAGGACCACCATCAACTTCTTTATTTGAATATGGACCAATATTTTCCTGGCTCATAATTTTAATGCATGTTCAATGTTGAATACAATGATGTAATAACATATTGTGATTAGTCAACATTTCGGAAGATTTGAACATCATCAGGTAAGTTTACAAGTACGGACCTGTGTTTTGTTAGTTAAAAATATTTGAATTAGTAAATGATGTATTATCGTTGTAAGAGATTATAAATAATAAATACCAAAGTCAAACTTTTAACTTTACATCAAGACAACATGTTCGTTTACACATTTGCTAAAAAATATTTTCCATTTTTATGGTTTTTGCACATGACCAATCCCAATATTAATCTATAAATAAAGTACATCCCGATTTTTAAATACATAAAGTTAGCCTGATTTGTCATATTTTGTTGGATTTTTTAAACTGATATGGTTCCTCATAGTATAAAAAAGAAAAAGTTAACAAACTGCAGATAGATACCTACTTACAATAATAATTGTATATCTAGCAACACGTCTTGATTATTATACAGATAAATTTAAATCAAGTTAACCTGGCATGTCACATTTTATTATTGTATATTTGACAGTCTGGTATCGGATAAAACCATTGGTATATTTTTAATTAGGGTATTGAAAATATGGTTCGTTACAGTAGAAGTGAGAAAAAAGATATGTACGAGGTGTACATAAAATGTAACAGAAATAGTGGAGAAGCTGCAGAAAGATACCTTCAGTTGTATCCAGGAAGGAGGCAACCATCTTTATTAATTTATTATAGGATAGCGTTAAATATGGCTCACGAAGGAAATATTGAAAAAAAAACATGGTAAATATTTAAAACGTAATACAATAAATGAAATAAATGTTTTGTCTCAAGTTTATATCAACCCTGAAACGTCGTCTAGAGCAATAAGCCGAGAATGTGGAGTTTCTGCAAGTACTGTGAAAAACATTCTTAAAAAACATAAGTACCATGATTACAAATTCCAAACTGTACAAAAGCTACATCCTGGAGATTATAATCGTAGAATAGAATTTTGCCGTTGGTATAAACGAAAATTAAATAATGATGTATCCTTTCATGGACGAATTTTATGGACAGATGAATCGACATTTACTAATAGTGGAATATTTAATAGAAAAAATAAACATTTTTATGCCACCGACAACCCACATTTAATTCAAGAAATAAGACCCCAAATTAGATTTTCAATAAACTTATGGTGTGGAATACTCAATAATAAAATAATTGGTCCTATTTTTATTGACGGAAACCTCAACCAACACAACTATTTACAATTGCTAGAATATATGTTAGATAATCTTCCTTTCTTTAGGTGATCGAAGAAATATTTATTTTATGCAAGATGGCTGTGGGCCACATAATGCTGCATTAATCAGAAATTATTTAAACGAAAGATTTCCCAGGAGGTGGTTTGGTACACATGGACCTATTCGATGGCCCCCTAGGTCACCCTCCTTAAATCCTATGGATTATTTTGTATGGGGATATATCAAAAATAAAGTATATTATGATGGTATTCCAAATGACTTAAATCAATTACGAGATAGGATAATTAGTGCGTTTAATAATATCACTCCACAAATGGTTTCTGCCAGCATAGCTCAAATGACAGACCGTATTGACTTATGTATTCAAGAAGAAGGAGGACATTTTGAGCAACTACTGTAGTTTTTCTCTTATCGTTAATCATTGTTTTCATTTATTTGTTTCTGACGTGATTAAGTAGTTAAATACATATTTTTTTTTTATTAAATTATTTTAAGCATTTAAAATGTAGTTGTGTATTTCAAATAATTTATAATACAGGTCTGTACAAGTAAACGTACCTGATTTCTTACACTGATAATACATCATTTACTAATTCAAATATTTTTAACTAACAAAACACAGGTCCGTACTTGTAAACTTACCTGATGATGTTCAAATCTTCCGAAATGTTGACTAATCACAATATGTTATTACATTATTGTATTCAACATTGAACATGTATTAAAATTATGAGCCAGGAAAATATTGGTACATATTCAAATAAAGAAGTTGATGGTGGTCCTGCATTTACGAAACGTCGGATAAAAAAACTAAATACGCTATCATACGCACAATTTGATATAGAACAAAAAACTCCAAATGAGTTTTTGTCTATTTTTGCAAATAAACGTTCTGTAGCGGAATAAAGAAATGGTACTTATTTGTTTTTTATCGAATATCTCGGAAACCGGACCTGATATTTTAGTTTTCAAAACGCCGTCAGATTGGACTTCGAAATATGCAACTTTTTCCCCATTTAACCAACTTTGTGTTACCAACGGTTTACGAGATAGCAATACATTTCAATGAAAAAGTAGCCACCCTGTATACCTTTAAAGGTCTAATAAAAAAGTACAGGGGGATTAAACAAAAAGTATTGTTTAACACATTTGATAAATTAATTATTGATCTATGTAGTAAATCACCCTGTAGCCAATGAGATTAATAGTTATACACGTGTTAAAATATAATATAGCAAATACAAAAAGTCAAGTAAAATCGCACATTAATAATTATAAAAGACATATTGGCCTATGTCGGTATTTACTAATCAACCTGTATATATAGTATGTAGAATATTTTGTTTTATCTCTAAAAATGATAATTCTAACAATTATTTATTTTTTAGTAAATTAATTCACTTCCTAGAATAATAGAAGTAATCAAAATTGTGTTCTTACTTATTTACGACTCACCCTGTAGAAGAATATATTTTTTGACTTTTTTTATATTCGTAGAATGCCAAAAGATGTTACAATAAAATTAGCCACAAAATTACAATCAATTAACTTACTCCTGGAATAAGAAGTGGTATTTCTTAAGTTTAAGCTTGGAAACCAATCATAGGATTTAAATGATCCCATGGCCACTATAGCTCAAGAATTTGAGAATTACAATATCAACATTTTATAATATTTGACAGATAGACACTTTTGCTTAAAATGTGTAGCTTCCGAAAAAAGGCAAGAGAAAAAATACAAAAAAATACACCAAAGGTTTTGCTAGTTTTATTTACCATTACCAAAAATTTATAAATATATGCGGCATCGGTTATCGAATGCTTTTCAATACGCCTTATTACAAGTGCATGTGAAAACTACAGAAAGTTAGTATTATCGCGAGCAGGGAACGAATAATATCAGCGTTGCCATAAGTAGCCCACCACCGTTTAATGCTATGCAAGTAATTTTTTGATTGGCCATCGTCTTAGATTAGCTTAAATCATAGACGACTTGATTAAAAAAAAAAAAAATTTAAAAACAGTCTTTGCTCACTGCAAAAAATGTTAATAGAATGTAATTAATTCAAATAAAGGTCAAAGTTTATATTTTAATTTTGAATACTTTACCGCTAGTATACGAAACAATCAGGACTTTTTTTGGGAGGGGGGGGGGGGAAGAATATAAAAAATAACTGAATTGTTTTTATGTATATCAAGTATAACAAGTTGGTAGGATAGGTATATTTTGCTAATTGTGGTTTAGATTTGGAACCAACTGTCTGAGCTTTGAGGGTTGGCTTCCCCTACCCCCCTTCAGCCCGGCCCTGGTAATAGTAATATTATTACTGGAAATAGTAGAATCAGAAAATTGAAGGAATTTAAATAAACAACAAATTATGATTTTACGATGTTCTTCAATTTCCCTTAAATGTTCAGCAAGGACTATAGCAGGTGTTCAAATTAAAGTGTTACAGTTAAATAGCGCCTTTTATATATATATATATATATATATATATATATATATATATATATATATATATATATATATATATATATATATATATATATATATATATATATATATATATATATATATATATATATATATATAAAAAAAACGTTTCAGATGAAAGTTTTATATTTTTTGGGGTAAACATTTTGGCTAAAATCTTTTTTTATAGCTAACTATAATATGACCAACTTTTTTTTCGTGCAGCAAACTTTTCAAGTAGCTGTTACTCAATAAGTAAAAGTTCAATAAAAAAATATTTTCTTTAGAAGTTTCTTATTTTTTTATGAACTTTAAGAGTAGGTAAAAAAATGGGGTTCCAATTTGAAATAAAAAAAGTCTAAATTAATTTCGCCAAACTGTTTCCCCCAAAAAACATAAAACTTTTGTCTGAAACTTTTTTTTATAAAATGCATATTTTCGGCGGTATTTAACTGTAACACTTTAATTTGAACACCCGGTATAGATTCCTGCCTTTAATTAATGTTTGTGGCTGGAATACAATTTTGTGTCTGATTGATCTTTTCTTTTGTTTTATAAATTCATATACTTTTATTAAAACCAAAATATATATTTTCTGTTAAAAGTTATACTGTCAGTATACGAAAATATCACCCGTTAGTTCATACATTAATTATCGCTGCTGTCACGCATGGAGCGCATACAGTTGCTACGAAATTTGTTAGACTACAAGTTAGAAAGTTTGCAGATAACAACTGTAGTTAAATAATTGATAATTGAGGTTCTCCAGGTGGTTTTTCAATACTAAAACCAATATATCTAAAGCTTCCGTTACCCCAATATATTTTTTATACATAATTTTGTATAATTTTACATTTTGTTTTCTGTTTTAGGATCGATACCCTCAAGTAAAAAGAGGTTCATTTTCCAAATTAGAACAAACCCATTTGCAATTCTTCAGGGATCTTCTTGGATCTAATAGAGTTATTACCGATGAGGACGAATGTCAAAGCTTTAATATAGATTGGATTAAAAATGTCAGAGGTATGTATTTTTTTAATATCGATGGTCTAATTCTACCCCGTAACTGCAAAAATTCAAATTTTACTTTTTTACGCCATTCGGTTGTACATTTACTGTCATTAGTTAAAAATACACCATATTGGTTTTGGACAATATTTACATGAGAAATTTGACTACTCATAATAACACTTATTGCACTATTAAAATAAAAAAAAGCTTCTCCTGTAAAATGTCAATCCATGCAGTTACGGGGTATTAGAATTAGACCATCGATATTTTTTTTACATAGGTGCTTTTGCGCAGGTTCTGTTGTTAAATAATAAGTGTTTGAATAATATTTATTTTGCAAGGGTCACAGAACGTACATAGTTTATCTAATTTGGTGTCATCAGCATAGATTGTTGACGCACAGCACAACAATACTGAATTAAGTACGAAATACTTGTAAAACAACCTATCAGTAATCCCTCTAAATCATAATTTTTGCATACACAAATGCATATCGTAATGTCGTTTATCATTTATTTTTTCGATTTTTCCAATTATTCTCTGTATCTGTAACGTGTGTAGGGTGGGTTGAGCCACGACACTTAGGCCCATTGTACCGAGAGGTGTTAGCCAAAATTCGTCAGAGTTAGCATTTGGTTGTCTGTAGGAATGGTAGAACCGTGGAATATGTCAGCCGTGCTAAATATAGGCATATAATATTATTATTATTATCATATAAAGGATGGCCATTTAAAAACGAAACGGAGCCAATTTTGACCACCCCAGTTCATTTACGAAAAAAACGCTCGGACCCGTCAATTTTTTATTTTGGAGGGAAACATTTTTTTGTCAGTTTCACCCCCCGAACGGGGGTGAGTCTGACCCCTAAAATAGAAAGAGGGGTCGAATGATATCTCATTTTAAAGGTATTTTTACCTAGATTATAACCTCCGAGTTTTACATCGCTACTATCTACGTATCCTATACAGTGGCGCACCAAAAGTACAAAACCGGTTTAACATAACAAAATTATGATCAACACTTTCTTTTCAACGTGTGTTTTTCTGACGAATACACTTTTTCCTAACTCTTTCGGTAAATCGTCACAATTGTCGTTATTGGTCTGATTCAAATTCCAGAATATTTCATGAAGTACATAAGCAACATCCGGAAAAACTGAAAACAGTGCATAGAAAGCGACTTAATATTCCAGCAAGACGGTGCGCCACCCCATTTTGCACTGACTGTTCGTTAGTATTTGGATCAAACGTTTCCAGGTCAAAGGATCGGAAGACGAGGAAGTAGTGAGTCGTCCCCAATGTCTCCGAATCTAACCCCGTTAGATTTTTTTATGGGGTTACTTAAAAACTAAAATTTATGTCACCCAGTCAACATCACCAGAAAATCTGCGATAATTGGTGAATGTCATCAAATCGCCCCACAGATGCTTCAAAATGTCCGAGAGCGTTTTGAATAAATCCTCTATCATTGTATGGAGGCCCAGGGTCAGCATTTCCAGCATTTACTCGAGTGACTGGTAAGCATGTAAAGAAAATAAAAATCGTTAAAATATCATGGCTAGAAAGACAGTAGCGATTTAAAACTCGGAGGTTATAATCTAGGTAAAAATACCTTCAAAATAAGATATTCGACCTCTCTTTCCATTCTAGATTTTAGGGGTGAGTCTCACCCCTGCTAGAGGGTTTCCGTTCAGGAGGTGAAACTGGCAAAAAATTTCCCCTAAAATCAAAATTGACGGGTCCGATCGTTTTTTCGTAAACGACCAGTGCTCCTACTCTCGACTTCACACGAATTTCGATGGAATAGACGTATAAAGCAAATAACCGCTTCACACGCCATTCACACAACACATAAATGCTGGATTCTCAGAGAAAATGAATTCACATTCATTCAGACCCATGTTGCCTAATTTATAAGATGTACTTGGTTAACATATTATGCCATTTTTGAACTATTTTGTAGAAATTAATTTCAAATATTCACATTCCAACCATTCCATCACCCATCGCATTCACGTAAGGTTTTCTTTACAATAATTGGAATAAAAAGTTTTAAAGCGAAATATGTATAAAACCAAAACGTTTGAAATGAGTAGAAATAGTTAATCAAATGGCTTCCTCCGTCTTAAAAATCTTCGAGTACTCTGAATATCGTCTTCTAATTCAGTTATTGTCAAAAGAAAGACAAGCTCATCTTTTTCCATATCTTGAACTATTTTATTTAAATGTTTGTTAGGATTTTTGTTAAAAATTCAACTCTCCAACAATTACAAATCAAAACTGTGCTGTTTTGCTTCGAATTACACCTGTTACGCCTTATAAAACGGTATTAAAACCAAAAGACAGTTACACTAATAACTAATGAGTAATCACAGAATGTGATGGAAGACTCGACAAACGACACAACCTTAAAAGATGGTTTACATACGAAATATCCAACATCCACATGATCACGATGAATGACAATTATTATAGATGTTTCAACTTTCCTCAAATCCCATATAAAAACAAAAAAGACGATATGGCACCAAACAGAACGTAGTACCAGAGGTCGTTAGAAGGTGAGGTACCGGTTTGACCAGTATAAAAGCTAGATAAAGCATGTTTTAACATCAACATGTATCCAACTTCAAGATCTGGCCATATGATTGGTAAATCATACTAATAAAAAAGAAACGAATAAAGACATTTTCAATTTTTTAAGTGTATGTACATTTTATTAGAATAAGCAGTTGGGCTGTTTAGACATAATCCGGATATTATAAATATAAACGAGAACAATGGAATGATTGATGATAATTTGTTCTTTTTTTACATTTATAATGCAAGCTCTTGGCGAATACTAATAAATTTTCCAAACTTGAAAAGACCTACCTTTCCTTCGTTTTTCTTTATCGATCTGTGTGTAGCTACACCTATAAACCTTTGATTTATTTTGTAAATGATTAAAGTAGTATAAAGTTAATGAATCTATTGAAAACAATCCTCTGCGTATATATAATAAAAAGTATAATACAACACTTATTCATGTAGCTAATTAAGGTTTACAGATTCAACATTTTTGTGCCTACCTTTTTCATCAATTTGCCTTGTTATAAGTACCTACATTTTATTGCAATTAGGAGATCTCTCCATATGAGATTATTTAGGATTGGTAACAAAATAAGCATGTATTTTTGGAATGTGTTTATTAATTATCTAAAACGTGGCAGTTATAATTTAATACCTACTCTTCTGTAAACATTACATCAAAATGTCATTTAATACTTATTTTTTCAATTAATTATTGTTATCTCGTACACTAAAAAAATAATGAAAAATAGTAATGCCCTCACTTTGTTTTGATGAAATATATGGGTGATTATTATTATAGGTATGTGGTAATATTTTTCTTCTCGTTGTTTTCACTTTTCATTTCGTTTGTTATATAGATTATGACTGGTAGACATTAATAAATTACCATTATTAAAAAATAAAATGGATACAGACGTAGTTTTTACTTGATAAACATTAAATTAACTGAAAACCTCACCTTCTGCCTGGTGGATTTTTTAGTACTATGCACAGTTTGGTGCCATATTATAAAAAGAGATGAAACACCTGTAAAATATCATTCATCGTGCACATGATAAAACCCATGTGAACTTTTCACACAATCTTTCATGTGAAGTGAACATTCCTCGATTTGCAAGAATACGATTTGTGCAAATTTCATGTGAATTATCCAACGAGTGAACAATTCACCCTTCTCGAGAATTGAGGCCCTGGAGTGCCCAAAATTGGCTCTGTTTCGTATTCAAATGGCCACACTATAAATTTCAGCTTTGTCGAAATACCGTAAATTGTTATTTTTTGGACTTTTAAAAGTGTCTACCATGAACTTGGAATCGCCATATCTGCATGCCACTATTTTGTTTTATTTTCTAAACAAATGTCATAATGACGTTGAACTCGGTTAGAATTTTACACCTTCTATACCTGAGTGACATAGAAATCGCCGGCTGAACTGACGAGTCCCCATCTCATGTACAAGAGAATGTATGAGAGAATAAACAAAACTATAGGTGAAAATGATGAATAAACTGAAGATTTATTGTGAAAATTTTGTCGGTTTAAATTGCCAAAACAAATGCTAGAGAAATCGGGGTACGATCAAAGAAAATTTTGCCCTGGACGGGATTCGACTCCCCGATCTCTGGATCTCTATTCCATCCTAACTCCTAGCATTAAAGTCCCCGTTTTGTCCAGGTGTTGAGACGCGAACGCTGCAATGAAGTATAGATGAAAATGATGAATAAACTGAAGGTTTATTGATATAGATTGATAAACCTTCAGTTTATTCATTATTTTCGATAGCGGCGATTCCGTTACTAGTTAACTTAACACCTGGACGAAACGAGGGTTGTAATGCACGTGATGTGATGTACCTTCGACGATGCCACATAGGTGACCATTGAAGGGTTGAAGAATTGAAAAAGATTCTGATAAACTGAGTTGGGATCGAATCTAAATACTCAAATTACCAATCTCGACCATTCACTGTTGGGTTCTAATTAACAGTGCTGTTCCTAAAGTGGCGGTGGGAAACAGTAACAAAGCCTACACAGAACACGAGGCTAATGACCTTAGTAGTCGATGCCGATGACACCAAATTAAAAAAAAAACATTAAGGACTCCAGAGAACGCGGGTTCGAGCCCCGCCCAAAGCAGAATTTTTTCAATTTTTCAAAAAAAAATTTGGTTTGTTAACGCTCCTCGATTTCTCTAAAAGTATAGGTGTTTACAAAATACCGTTAGTCTGCCAGTCACTAATATGAAATAATTATAATTAAATATTTAGCCTTTAGTTTCGTTCTTCTCAATCTAAAGTAAAGATGGTTATTTTTGTTATGGATGTTCATAAAATATTAGACCGTTATGAACAATTTCCAAATTTTCGCGTGATGTTGCCTATTTACACCTTCTGGGCTTGTTATAATATTCCAGGCGCTAACCATCATATCATCCCGAATC